GTGATCCTAAAAGACAGGACTTCAAGAATGACTATTCCACAAAATTAAGTAACTCTTTTCAAACCTAGTTTGTCCATGGTTCACAAATCAGCAGCAAGATTTGAACTTGTGCACCAGATGGACAACAGGATCGAGCATCAATCACATGCATAGCTTCCTTTCATTTCAATGCATACCAAGAAAAAACTTATCTTATGGGTACACCAGCAATGCTTCATATTGACTTTGTCTTGAGTTTTTCATAACACAAGAAAAGTTGAAAACAAAAGAGGACATGCCTGGTTGTTGCGGGCCACAGGTCTGTCAAAGATAACATGCATGCCAAGAATGGCCGACTGGGGTGGGTTGATGATGGGTGTCATCATGAGGGAGCCGAACACGCCTCTGTTGCTGATGGTGAATGTCCCTCCATCCATGTCCTCGATGGCCAATTCTCCCTTCTGTGCCTTCTCAGCCAGGGCTGCCACACCCAGCTCCATGTCAGCGAAATTCATCACCTCCACGTTTTGTAGCACTGGCACCACCAGACCCTAGATAGGCAAGAAAAAGGTCAACATATAGCAGGAATGAGTCTCCAAGCATCTTTGCACCATGTAGAACACAACTTTGGGCTGGCGACAGCCACCGAAATATCGATGTAGTCCCTGTAAACGATCTTGTTACCGTCGATGATGGCATTCACGACTGGCTGATTCTTCAGGGCATAGGCTGAAGCCTTGATGAATGCAGCCATGAAACCCATTTTCATTCCATACTTCTTTACAAATGTTTCTTGATGAGTCTTCCTCAACTCCATGACATTGCTAGAATAAAGATGATGGAAAGTTTCAGAACAATTTCTTTCCAACCTGCAGGTTGGCTCTAATATCCAAGAGCTGGTCAAGTTAATTTGAAAGTAATCTATTAAAAGAGATTAAATCAAGCCACAATTTCCATCAAATTTTTAATAGGCTACTATGCTCAACACATGGTATGAATACGATTCACAAATTTGCAACAAAACTTTGATACATGATAAAAAATTCAAGACTCAACCATTAAACCATTAAACCCAGTGAACCTGTCCACTGGTTGGAACAACATGTAAGCTGATGTTCCATTTTTCTCTTTGTCAATGATCATGGTCCATGGTTCAGGAGATAGTCAATATTAGAATGAAAATTGGGACCAAAATAATTGCAGCCTGCTTCTAATCCACATGCTTATTTCCAGTGTATTCCATAACATATAGAGTAACTTTAATTAGACACAAAATAAATGCTAAGTGCATCAGATTATAGATAAATAGTCTAGAACCAGATTTAAAAAAAATCATTTGAATGATATTTAGGGATTGATCAACTAGCAAAAATATTTAACTAGATTTAGTCCTAGCAACTGAAGATGATGTGGCAATAGATGTCCACGTGGACTTGGGCAACTCAAATCATATGACAGCTAATTAGGACATTTGATTGAACCAAACACAAGAATAATCCAGCAAGGGGCAAGTAGGACCATGGTGAAGCAATTTTGCAAGACAAGAAGATTGGTTTCAATTACAGATTGGAATGGAAATCTAGTTGGGCTTGCATTACATCAGCATTGGTGGACATGCAAGACTACTTTTAATGATTATGCATAAGGTTGCATAATATGTGAGCCAAATGAGAATGTTTACTTGAAAATGTTGATTCATTCTGTAGGTCTAGTGTAACGCAGGCGTGGCTGTCTGTTTCTGCAGACAACCACCTGCACTGGGTCCGTTTCAGGCGTATGGAATAAGGCAACAATAAGACAGGAAAATAAAGTTCCTCTATTCCAACATCATAACACAGTAACTATAGGGAGTGCTTCAGGAATTGACTTCCGACAGTTCAGGTAACGGCGACAGGCGCTCAGCCTTCAACATAGATCACTTAAGCCCTATCAACATGATGTGGCGCTCGGCCTTCTACATAAAGTTCACTTAGGGCCTAACGCATTGAGGGCTACATCGGCACTCGGCCTCCTACATAGAATTCCACAGTTTTTCGGCGCTCAGTGATCTACAGAGAATTCAACAGTTGCTCGATGCTCGGCCATCTACAAAGGATTCAATAGTTACTCGGCGCTCAGCCATCCACAAAGAATTCAAACAGTTGGAACAATCAAATAATGTTTCTCAGGGAGAATAAGTGTACCGGGCACTCAGCCTGAACGTAAGAGTGAAGGTTACCAGGACCAAACACCAGCGCTCCAAGGCAAAACTCCGTCTCCCAACATCAGGACCAAGTCAAGAAGCGGTGTCCATTTGGTCAGTCTTCTTGCTGGCTCAGATAAAAATCAAGATGTTATAACTTTGCTGAAAAAGCCATACCGATGGAAATGCAGAGAAAGAAGAGGGTCCTTCCAGGAAGAATCCCAGATGCGGGGAGCGAGGGAGGGTCAGATGCAACGGCAGAGAACGGGAGGGTCAGATGCGATGACAGAAAACAGCAGGATGAGAACAGTCGTGGCTGAATAGGGGACCAGCGAAGCAGTGATCCAGAGGAGAAACGGAAGACAACTGCCCCGCCAACAGGACGTCTTTCTGCAATGCAGATTGTAAAACAGGGATGCTTGACTCTATTTTTAAATGTTCATACGAATGCACGTGCAAGCCTATTCAAAAGGAGTGACATTCAGCCTGCAACACTGGAATGCACCCTCTGACCCTTGCGGCATCAGCTCATGTGAAAAACCCGACAAGACATCGTCTGCTCGAGATGTTACACTAGCCATTCCCATGTCTCATGATTCTGCACAATGACTCACAGAGGGACAACAGCATAAATGTGGCAAGATGTAATTCTCTTGAAATAACCTTAAGATTGCATCTGAACAATCTCAAGGTTTCCAACTACTTTGAGAATTTGAGTCTGCTTCATGATGCTGATCCCAACCCTTAAGACAAGTCTTGACTCTTTAATCATATTTTTGTTTAAGTACACTAAGTGTTTAAGTGCTATTCAGTCAATGAACTAGTCAATCTTAACATTTCCACTGCCAGGCAGTATCCAGGTTCCCAGCCCTCAGCAAGCCAGGCAACTCAAACAAGCACGAGTCAGAATTCTTTTATGCATCAAGAATCCAGATTCTCTTTACATAGTCTGTGCTGACCGATCAAACATTACTGCTACACCCTCACTTTTAGCACAGGCAGGATGTTCAGTGTAAGCATTCCATGTTGTCACAGTGATCACCAACCCTGATCTATATCAGGGATAGATCAACAAATGCAATAGCCTTGAGTTCATATAGTCAGGTGCACTCTCCTAGGGGAACAGCCTGTCATTCACATCCATTCCAGGAAAATATGTGTCAGCATAAGACAGATGGATACACAGCAAGGAGACTTGTGGCAAGCACCTGTCCTGCCTGCTTAGAAAATAGTGTCATGGAATATTCTTCCTTGCATACCCCTATGCACATGTGTTGAGTGAAGGAGGAGAAAGAGATAGAAAGGAGGTAAGGAAAGTTGGTTATCACTTACTTATATCCACTCACTCATGCATACAGTGACCCAATGAGCAGGGGCAAGGGAATGCCAGGTGTATCTCATCAATAGCATATGAGAACTACTTCTGAATATAAATGAGTCTAGCTTGTCATTGGTGGTGAATGTGAGTAACTACCCTTAGCCCCATTTCACCACACAGACATCAATTCAGACTTGTCCTAAGTTTGCTTCATAGTGCTGGTGCCAAAGAAACAATCCTCTTCACCAACCCTGGCTGATACCTTGTCACTATGGACCTTCTGATTACACTCAGCCATGCAGAATAGAAGAAGGCATGAATCAAAGAAACAAAGGATCTCATGATACTCATCAACAAAAATAAAAGAAAATATCAAGTTCTTAAGAGAGACTAGACAATCTAGATTGGCCTTGGCCTTCAGCCTTTCCCTCATATCAATTTCATTAAAGGTGGTGAGCATGGCATGGACATTCTGAGCATCCTTCAATCGTTGCGATATCCTGAGACGCATGTGGTTCATCTTGATACACTGCTCCATCCTCGTTCCTTCAATGACAAATGAGTTCATCATCCAAGTCTGAATGCATGCATTTTCATGTTGATTAAACAGTTTAGAGAAAGAAAATTCTTGCCAGTGATTTTCTTGGTGGGATCCTGAGGAGGAAGCTTTACTGAGGTAGCCAAGGCTGGCTGGGCCTGGAACTGTGCAGCGGTAATGGTTTCCCTGGGGCCCTTGGGCAAGGACGGGGTTGATGGTGGGGGAGGCCTGCCTCCTCCTGCAGGAGGGGGTGGTGGTGGTGGAGGAGGTTTCAAGAAATCAGGGGATCTCAGGTGTAGCTCCTCCTTTCCATGAGGAGGAGGAGGTGGGGGTGCAACTTCTTTTTTCGGCTCAACTGGCTTCTCCTTTATCTCAGGGGATACTGCTTCTGCTTTCTTTGGTGCCTCTCCTAATATAACAGAGCATAGTCAAATGTGGGTAACTAATTACCAAGTCACCATCAAGAACCAACAATATAAAATTTTATTGGGTGTGATACAAGAGTTAAACATACATTAAACATTTAAAAAAGTCCCATAATTGGCCTTCAGTTTTTCAAGAAATTAAGGGATGTCAAGAAAGATAGCCTAATGCTGAAAAGTGCATCTTAGTCCAACCAAATTTTATTTTGGATAAATTTCTTATACATGAGGTTTTTGAATTTTTGAAGAGTGACAAATTTTCATAAATTCTTTTTCCAACTATTTTTCTTTGACATTTGCAAGTTGGATAATGGACAGTAGAAAGAGATGTTGAGAAACAATGACAGAAAATAAGGATTCATTGCTGAAAGAACTCATGTAATTTCATAAATTTTTTAAAATTTTAATTTAAAAATGAAAATTCAAATCAGTTATGGAAAATTTAGACATTTAATTAAATTAATTTCTAACATTCTTTCTAAAAAGCATGTACAAGATTTGAAAAACTGGAGATCAGTAAATCCAAATTCTGCAGAGTACCACTACAGACAAAACGGTTAAGTCTCCCAACACTGACGACATTGAATTAAAATAGCTTCACCTCTGGATGTGAATCATTAGATCATTTAGTTTCTGGCCACAGACACCCCACAGGAGATGTCAGGCATACCAAAAAATTGAACAGGGGTCTCTGTTTCTCACTGCATTCTATTTCAGTCGCAAGATGAAATGAGACCTAACATATGCTTCCATACCATTGATATGAAGCTTGAAGAGCTTTGCTCCAGCCTGGACACTGGCTCCATCTCCCACGAGTAATTCCTCAATCACTCCTGTAGCTGGGGCATGCACTTGGATTGCCATCTACAGGATTTAAAACAAAAATTCAAGTTGAAATATTAATTCAGCGCTAGTCCTCATGGAGAACTCCTTCCAAAATATGATTGATAACTTTCCCTAGAATGAGTAGATACCATTTCTATTGTAATTTTAAGTCTTGTAGCAAAATATCACTTGATAAAAACTTTCAGCCATCATGAAGATGTCATAGTAAACACATAAAGACATCATAGTAGACAGAAGCATGGAAACTACCCATGGCTTATCATGAAGGAAGGTTAAGAAGTAGGCTCTTTGAAAATATGGAGAGACAGACTCCCACTTTGAATCTAAGTGCAAGTGATACCTTCTTGCAAGTGATGCAAAGACCTCTCTCATAGGAGAGTTTGATGACAAATCCATTTTTTTCATCACTCACATTCAAAAGAGTATTTTAAAAAATAAGTAATAACCATCTATGAAGCTATCACTGTCTGATTACAAAGCAATATATCACTAAAACATCTAAAACTACTATAAAAATGGTATCTCCTTAAAATAAAAAAGTAGTTCAATGCTGATTATGAGACTTTTTTAGACTGTTTTTCCTAACCCCTTCATCACAGAATATACATTTTTTGGGACACTCAAGGAGTATGGTCTGAGCTGAAGGGGTTAAATGCAATACTAGAAAAGAGAGGCAAGTTTCTTGGGAAGGTGCTACAAAAAGCACATAATAGGAGAACAATAACAGGAAGAAAAAATCCAGCAGGAGCAAAATTGTAGATTTTTCCTGAAAGTTGATTAGGTTAGTAAAAGGTATATGAAAATTTGTATTTACTAAAATGTTATTAACTATTATGAAACACAACTTCTAATCCAATGCCAAAACTGGCAGTAGAGGACAGCAGGGAGTAAACACAGGTTTTCCAATTAAATTTAGCATTGGTGAAGCTTTTGAGAGAAGTTTACACACCCCATCAATGGCAAACATGTTCAAGCATGCCAAATTACCAGATGAACGTTCAGAATAGTGATGTTTCACATGATGGTTCAGAAAGACTTTCTGGCTATCCTCCAGAGATTCTTATGGCTCCCAAACTGAAGAGCATTACCTGTTCCAGTACTCACTTGTTTTAGGCACTCTATGGTACTTTCCCAGTTCCGACTTGCACTCACACATCTTACAGTTTGTTCATAATTTTCACAAGTCTGGTTGAACACAATGGCTTCCTGGAAATCACTTTGCCAGTTCTCAAAACTCTATCCTCACTGTGCTCTCACAAAGGGTTAACATGAACACAACATGAATATTTACAAAGTTACTAACCTGAGAGGTCAGTAAGGGGCCTATTTCAAGGGCCCAACATAGGACTGCAAAAGGTGGAAGATCAATTAAATTTAAAGTTGTTTGTCCCACTTGATTAAGTGTTTCTGCTACATGTGCTAGTCATAATCAATTCACCATGAAAATCTTGTGATTGTAATATTGAGATTAATTTCACCTCCAGCACTCACCTTGTCAGTTTCAATTTCACAGATCACTTCATCTTCAGCCACACTGTCACCAACAGCTGGAAAGTAAAGCCATCTTGAAGAGATATGTATAACTTTTCCACCCCTGATGAAACATCAAGGAACTGTACCAATAATGAACAGGTGACGATAATCTTACCCTTTTCCCACCTCACATCCCCTTCCGATACAGACTCAGCAAATGCAGGAACATTCACGATCTTCACCTCATCCACTACAAGAGAAAGCAATCCATCATGAAGCACCTACCATATATCACTCAACTCTTCAGGAATGAAATGCCATCAAAACATGAACTTCTCACAGGCTACAGATGATATGTGAAAGAAATGCAGATCTATAATACTGTGTCCTGGGTTCCTCTTGGCAAAGGCATAGGCTGAGACATCATGTGTCCATACTGTTGGCTTGACATCTAAAGTAAGAGAAACCAAGGAATTTTAGCACCAGTGAACCATCAATGCTGGACTCCTACAACCACTTTGGCTTCTTGCAACTTAAATTAGTCACCAATAAAATAAAATAAAATAATAAATTGATTGGTTATTTCTTTTACTTGAGAAATGACTCAAATTAAGGTTCAACAGATCTCCCTTTGAATGGGTTATGTTCATGCAGATTGAAGAACTTCATTTTTATGAGAGTGCCTCAAATTAAAAAGAAAACATACACCCAGAAATGAATATTGTTGTTTCAGTTGTATGGATGGTATCCATGAAGCAAACGTGAAGGCAGGATCATTCAGCTGTTTGCTCTACCCATTACTAGGTTGTAACAAAAGTTTTTGTGCATAAATACAAAATTTATTTCAACATCATTTTCTAAATTAAATTTTTTTTTATTGGTACAGCTGCCAAATTGGACTACTTGCGGAAAGATGGGTCACAGTCATAGAAAATGATGGGCTTTATTTCAAAGAATAACCTTTTTTATTGCTGTTCAATTCATTGTTAAATAAATTTTGTACTAGTATTTATGCACAAAAACTTTTGTTACAACCTAGTAAGAGATGGAACTATTGGTATCTATCATTAAAGATGTTCATGCCATTCAATAGATTGGCTCCAGCTCATCAAGCAGCCCATAATATTCTAAATAAAACTTTCATCACTCAGGAGCCTCTATTCATATGCTACCAGCACCACAAAAGGGGCAGAAACAAACAGCATACCTCTGTTAATGCCAAAAATGAACAATTCCACATCATCAGACATGCCATCCAAAAGTCCCAGCTCTTCAAAACTGTTACTTAATCACATCAAATCAATTCACTCTTTACAGACTAAAGAACATCCTATTTCTACTTTGCAATCCACCAATACTAGATCAAAAACAAGGTTTCCGCCAAATCAAGTTGCAACAATTACTTCTGACAAAACAATAAATACTTGTGGTCTATGCAAATATACATATGAACCCCAACTGAAAAATTAGCTTTTTCTATTTGGAAAAACTGACATCCATTCATTTTTCTTTTGGCTTCTCTAGTTGTACATATGAGTACAGCATGCAGTAAAAATAAGTGTGAGTCTAATAATGTGGATGTTTCCTCCATGGTTTCCTTTCTTCACTGGTTATGCAGCATTCCTCAACTCTAGAGGATTTTGTCAATCAAGAGAGCCATGAACCTAATCACATCTTCCCTGCTTAGGGGGTACCATTAATTTTCTGCACAGCATAGGATCTGAGCAATACAAATAGGGCTAGATGCTAGGTGCTTGGCCAACATATCCATTTTTTTTTATTCCAGATCTAATAGGCATAGTGTTATGCCAACATACAACTCACCATTTAACTCAGTGTTTGCAGACAGTAGTTTCGTCACCTGAGAAATAAAAAAATGAGTAGTTAGCATTCAGAGGTTCTGCATTATATAATGTAGTTTATTTACTTACCCTTGATGCAGACAAAGAAGAGTATGCTCTCTTTGGAAATGGGAACTTCACCAGGAGAGAATGATGGCGGAACAATAACTTCCGGAAAACCATTCCTAACATTGTAAAATATCAGCAACCAAGGAGGAGTGCAGCCCAGGATTCACCTGACTAGACCTGCATCAATTGAATTAAATATCCACTGATGGGAATGAAGTCATAGAAATCAGATGAATTTAAGTGTATCCTATACAGCAGAGAGATATCACCTAACTATTGAAGGAGAGACAATTAAATACCATAACATAATGAGATAAGTAACATACATATCATAGGCCTATATCAGGGGTGTGCAACCTTTATTGGCAGTGGGCTACATGGAAATGTCAGACTCTACATGCAGGCCATAGAATGCAAAAGAAAAGGCTTCCCTTTTGCCCTCAGGGCATATGTGGGCAAAAGGTTGCACTAATTGATTGATGATCCTTACTCCTGCCCTACCCCTAGGAAATTCCAATGCCCAAAATTAGCCTTTGGCATTTAGAACCTCCTTCCTCAAGACATATGTAGCACCCCCATGTGAGGAATAATTAAGGGAAGAAAGTGAAAGGACTCAGTCCATGTCTTGTTTAGTTACTATAGGGTTGATCGAAGTCGTGATGGGCCTTGGGCTGCAAAGAAACTTATTTTATCTCTTATGCCATTATACATTACTGGGCCGCAAGAAGCAGGTCCATGGGCCACATATGGCCTGTGGGTTGCACATCCCTGGCCTATGTGAACTTCCCCACTAAAAATACAACTGAACTTAGAAAGGCAACTCATAAATCAGGATCTATAACTTTAAAAAGTATAGCATCTAGAGTTTCACATATTAAATCAAATCATTCCTCATTTCATGAGGCTAAAATTAGACTTACTTGACTAACACTACATAATGTCTTGTGTCAAGACATTGGACATGTCAGTCCTCCAGATAGTGAGATTGGGCAGAGACTTCTTATTTTACCTTTCCTCTATTTTCTCTGTCTGTAAGGAATGAGAAAGTCACATATTAACTGCTTCTGGAAATGAGTCAGTTTCACCAAAAATTGATCACTACAGTAATGCCAAACTTACTGATACCAACCCAATTTACCAGGTCCAACAATGGTGGATTTTTAAATAATAGCTACATCTCAAGAAAATTCAGAACTACAGCACCCCAAACTAGTGCATGGTGATAAAGTTTGGGGCTTTGGGAAGGGTCATAATATAGGACAAGGTTAAGCCCACACAGGAAAAAATAATGCAGGGCATACACCATCGCACAGATTTCAATGCTTTTGCATGGAGACACATAATAGAACAGTTGCAGATAGGAGAGATGCAAATCTCAATAAAATATAAAAAGGGAATTGCCTTTCTGTTCTCCCTCATTTCTGTTCTGTTCCCTCAGCAGGCAAAGTCTATAAATACCTTCATACTTTGAAGCCTAAAATGTAAAATAATGGTGGAACCAAAGAGGACAGTGTATAACTTTACACCCTTGAGAATGTCCATTTTTGTTGAAACATGCATCATTGCTGTCTTCATATCCTCCCACTGAATAATGTAATCACTTTTGGGCTTGATACCCTTATTGTTTCATCAGCATTTGAGTTTTCATTAAATCCAAACTAACTAACCTCATAGAAGAAACAATAACATATGTCTAGTGAGCCACATTCCTTCTATGTTTGGGCCAAAAGAGTCAGTCTATTTTGGGAATGAAAGATTATTTGGGTTAGAAAATAGTCATGACCTTTGGCTGTGACCTTCGGTTGACTTTCTCACTCCTGGCCTTTAACACCGAACTGATGCCAATTGCAGCTCAATTACGAAATGGGATGGGGGGGTTGAAGCATATAAGCTAATAGTACCATAGCTGGTGCAATTAAAGACCTAATTGAAGACTATAGTTGTCAGTGGATAAAAGCTAAGCACCATACTAGTATTGTTTCATAGATATTTTGTTGAAAAGGCTGATATTAGTAACGTTGTAAAGTTGTACACCATAAATAGTGGATTTTCACCATACCCAGGAATTCTTTAGAGGCCTAGGCCTGGGGTATCTATACCTGTGATACACTCTAACATGACTTTTTTTACTCCTTTTTTCACTGGACTCCGACGCACCCACGACATGTTGAGCTTATTTCATTTGCCAGCTTCATAGGCCACAATAATTCTCCTTTCGTAGCTCAATTTGAATTCATCAGAATCATTAAAAAGTGTCTAACGCAAGGTTGGGCCGTGCTCCGCTGATAAACGTTGCACCAAGCTAACCTCGGCCTACATTTCATTAGTTACGCAAGCAATGCCTTGTCTACTTACGCTTAGATGAAGCTCGAAGACCACAGCAAGAGCAATAGGCGTTAACTTTGAACTATCGACGACTCCCCAGGCCAAGACCTAATTCGGCACAACTTTGGTAATCATGTGAGTAGAGCAGTGAGCTGCCATATTCACAAATTATAAGGTGCCCTCAGCGGTGTCCGCGGGAACCCGCGGGTCCCCGCGGTACTCGAGCATATTCGACTCCTGTTCTACTTCCTGCAACTCCCTGCTCGCTTCATGTGATTTATATCCAAGCAGTTCGTGGAATTTAGATGGGTGAGATATCTCGTTCGCCTTGCGGACGCATTCATTTCGATTTTTCTCTTCTCTAAGCAGACCTTTGCTCCGGATATCCACTCGAGGGATCACAGTCATGGGATGAAACTTTCGGTCACGTGCCATGACGTTCACATCCCATTCACTAAATATATATTGGGATCGATTCTGGGTATCCGTGTCAATTCGGCACCACCGAAAGGTAAACTTCTCAGGGAGCTGACAAAATCGTATCTGAACTGTGTGACTTCCTCCGTGGAAATGCATCCGCTTCGATACTAAGACTGTCTGAAAGGGGCGAGTATCGCAGACTTTCCGTTGATGAAAGAGCACGACTGCGGCTGGGATCAAACCCAGGCCTCTTGGGTGGCAAGAGGAGGCTTAACAGGCAGGCCTGGATTAAGGGGAGGGAGGGGGGGACAAAGGGGGCAGTTGCCCCGGGCCCCACTCTTCCAGGGGCCCGCGAAGGAAATTAAATCGTTAAGTACAAAAAAGTATTGTATTTGCGTAAAGTAGCGGGGGAGGGGGGGGGGGGGGCAGGAACTCACTTGCCCCGGGCCTCGCAACTTCTTAATCCGGCCCTGTCTACAGGCCTCGACCCGTTTTCCTGCACATCTACGCTCTCCATTTAGTATACCAATGGACAAAAAAAAAAGTTGGGGAAGCTCGGCTCAGGGGCCTGCCCCTCACGCGGGCTGAATCCAAATCAGAATCTAATGGAAAAACAGTGTAAAAAGGAGAGACGAGCAACAGCCGCACGTGTACGGTTCCATCAGTAAATGTTTACACGGCCGATTCTTGAAGAGACCCTGCAGGAGTTCAAACAGCACCAACCTGATCCCATCCAGCGGCCCACGCCCCATCCAGCGGTCAGCCCGCCATCCAGCGGTCCTCGCCGCTCGCATCCGTCTCGAAGCGGAGGGCGCAGTCGAGGCTGGGACGGCGTCGGCGACGGGAGCCTGCAGGTGAGCGTCTGTGTCGAATTCACGATTTAATTTTACGAGTCGGGATTTTCGGGAGGGAATCAGCGGGTCGAAATGTGAGGCGGGATTTCCGCTCGTTTCCCAGGGTGAATTTGTAGAATATTTGTCATTATCTTATCATTCTCCTGCAATTCTCCCGTAATTCCAAGGCCTATGTCGTCGGATTCCCACACTCGCGGGGGAAAAAGCGAACATTTTCGGGATTTCAGACTCGGCGTTCCGTGATGAAACGGGGAAGAGACACAATGGGACGCGGTTTCGAGGGCAAATCCCACTTTCTCCCTCGCGGTAAATAAATAAGAGGAACGAAGGCGCCGACTTCCTTTCACCGCCGATATGGTACATGGCCAACAACGTAATTATGGGACGGATATGAAGTCTCGGGGATTGGGTTGCCGCTGTGTCTCTCGTAGCAATCCGAGAAAAACACTTTTTTTCTCGCCCTTCCGTTGGAAACATCCGACGATCCAAGAAGCGAAAATTTGGGCGGGAAAGACGTGCGTCTTCCACTACTTCCCTGGAGATGGCAGCACCGTCTGGGGGTGGTGGGGACGTCGGTGCCTCGGATGGCCAGTCGCCGCGCCGCCGCCGCCGGGGATGGAGGTCGAGGCGCTTCTCCGCGTCGCTTTTGTCCCGCGCGAGTGTTCGCCTTTCTTTCGCGGGAATTTCGCTAAAGCTCGAATTTGGATGCCGATTTTCGGTCTGATCATTGTCGAGGACGTCTGCTGAAGCGCGCAGTGCGGTAGTTTGACCTTTGCAGCAAGTGTGTATGTGACTCCAGCTAAACCATTAGAGTAAAGGACCTCTGGAATGTCCAGCCTCGAAAGGAATTCGGGATGAAAAATATTTGCGATATCGACAGAAGGAAACTATTTGCAATTTTATTCAGCAAAACTTTAGGAATTGTTTTCTTACTGCTCTCGGGGTAAAAAATTTTTTCCGGAAAACTGCGATTTCTCGCTAAAAACAAACGAAATTGGCCTAATTGAATCCCATAGTTTTCACAGTGCTGAACAAAAAAAAATCAAACTATCTGAGGAACGGAGCAAGATAGCGGTTGTGGTTAAGTGTGCGAACAGAATACGTTGGGTCCTGATCATCCGTAAAGTTTGGGCTTCACTTTTTTGATCGAAACCATTTTTCGGAGAAATCGATAATAATACTTTTTCGATAATCATGGTGATAACGATAAAGTAGCGTTGGAAAATTGTTTTCCTCTGTACAAATGAGATCGGTCCCAAGCTTTCTCTGGCTGCTCGAAGTCGACGGCGCGTCGAAACGTTCAAAAACACCGACGGCGGATGAATTGGGACGGGGAAGAAAACGGAAGACAACTCGAAAGGAGGATCGTGCTAATCGTGCTAATTTTGAGGAAAATTGTTGTTTCTCCTAAGTCCCTGAAGATTGTAGACCGAATCGTAAACAAAATTCTGCCAAACGGAAAAACTGGAAAGAAAATTTCTGAGACCGGCCGGAAAGGCGAAACCCTGAGCCCCGATTCCAGGGAAGGAAAGATCGTCAAGGACCTCAAGCAAGGCTTATACCCCAAGAAAAACAAAGGACTTCCGAGGATGGAAGCTTTGCCGCTCGTGAGAGAGCTTCAAAGACGAAATCAGGTCAAAAGTCACATCCGAGGAGGAAGAAGTTGGATTTTTTTTTTAGACATAGCCCGAATGAAGACCGAAGAGCGAGCTGGATTTTTCCTGACGGTGTTGAGAGAGAGAGAACATGAGCAAAAAAAGCAAAAGAAAAGAGAGGAGTATTTGAGGGGAATCTGGATTTCTCTGACTTTTCTGGAAAAAAAAAAATGAAATAGACGCTGAAGGAGATTCGAGTCCAGGGCATTGAGGCGTTGTGAGCCCGGTCCCAGACCGAAACGATGCGTATCAGCTGATGGATGAGACTTCGTCTCGGAATGAATTTCTCCGAACGACAAGAATTTTTTCGTCTGAATTTCCTCAAGGCCGAAGAACGGGAGAAGCCAAAAAGACAGCCGTTTCGCTTAAAATAGACTGTGTAGCAATGGTGTAGCCAGGGTTTCGCCAATGGGGGGGGGGGGGGGGGGGGGGGGGG